CCTTGACGCCCAACACACTGACAACTTTCAACGAGCAGTTTGCAGGCTTATCGCACAACTCTCCTGAGGCGTCGTCCATGCCCATATTTTTGGAGAGAACGCACGGCGCACCCGTAGAGGATGCCGAGAGTCACGAAAACGAGCCATGGGACAACATCTACTCCGGAACAAGTGTGTGGCGTTGGCCGATGGAAGTCTTGTATCAACGGTACCATTTATTGATAGCCATTGATTTTGGGGTTTCGATCGTCGGTGTTTCGAGGAATGGAACGGTGCTGGTTGACAAGGTGCCGTTTGCCATCCAATCGGTGTTGGATGTAGTTAAAAAAACGATGCAAACGCGTGAAAAGGAAAAAAATGAAATAAAGCATTGGGTCGACATGCACGTGGAGGAGTCAGAGCGTCATAACATCCTTCGGCAAGTGTGGAACCCCCGAATTGATATTTCCATCGTCCTGATTAATTTGCCCGGGGTGGAGGGGAGTGCGCCGACGTCCGTTTCTTCAAATTTCTTCTCATCGGAGACAGGCTGCGCGGCTGACGTGGAGGGACATCATGCGCACCTGTTTCCGGCGGGTGCGTTGCCGTTTCCTGCATTTGAGGGCGAATTCCCCGGTGATGCACACTGTCATCCTCACTTGGTTCCCTTGTTAACACGCTGTGACGCGGGGTTGGTGCTGAGCGACGAAAGCTTTTTGCCTCGGTTGGAAAAAAGATTGAGAGCCCATGAAGAGGCATGCTGCTCGCGACTGGTTGGTGCTTGGCCTGAGAAGAGTCTGTTTGCCACCATGGAGCATCTTATTCGTTTGATTCCAGAGCGCTCTGCGCATTGCACGAGTCTTGTACTTATTGGTAATGCCGATAAGGGTGGATCGCATGATAGTGTTTCATTGCTGGAAAGCTCTGTGAGAAGGAAAAACATTATTCTTTCTCTCTTATTTCTGAACGAGACGAATCCGTTCTTTGATTCAAGTATGAATGCCTTGTCGCAGTTCTTGTCGGCCGTTGGGGGCTTTGGTGCTTATTTCAATCAATGGCTCTCACTGGCGGTTCCAAGGCCTAATATCGACTGGTGTCGTCGTTTTGGGGGCCCACGTTGCTTGGCCCAACAATTATTTGTGCAACTGGACAACAAATTTCCTGTAAGCGTGGATCATGTTTCGCAGAATATGCCCACAACAGCTGCTGACCGGGCTGGTGATTGTTGTGTCCTGTACAACTCTGACAATGTTCTTGAAGATTTTACTCTGTTGCGTGTAAGTGATGTTACATCTGTACTTCGTTGTGTGGCGGAGGCCCGAATCAATGAGGGGTGGAGTGTTGTGATGAATCACAGCACAGAGAACCCTCATGTTGCTCATCTATATGCTCGTTTTCATTGCCATCCTCGACGTGGAAAGCTTTTTATTTTGTACGAGATGGAAATTACTCATCCGGTAGTATACCGCCGTGTGGTGATCTCTGGCTCAAAGGACCTTGTGGAATACTTTGTGAGGGCGAAGGGTGACGACGGGACTGTCGTGCCCACACAGACGGAGAAGAAAACAGGGTGGTTGATGTACCTTGCAATATTGCGCTCTCAATTGCGTCATTGGATGCGTGCAGAGCAGGTGGCTCTCCAGTGTCTGTTGGCTTCACAGCCAATCCGCCGGCCCCTTCTGAAGGACATTCAAGAGCTTTCGTTCTCTGAGGGAGTTTCTGCAGGGTGGTCCGCACACTGCAGTGTTCGCTCCATTGGGCTTTTCTTTCGGTGGGAGGATGGTCTGTTGCACTTCTTGGACCCCTGTGGAGGGGGAGGGTCATGGGGCAAGATGCCCTCCGTTTCGGTGTTGGCGCGTCGAGTACTTGTAGCGGCTTTACGCAGGAGGCATAAGCTTCTGTTGCAGGATGAACCCAACGTGTTCTTGTCCCTTGCCAGCAATGAACGCTCTTGTTATGTTGTTCAGGTGTTTTTGCTGGATAACGTGTCTGCAAATGGTTACGAGGGATGTGTGGCTGCAGGTTTTGAGTGCCGCTTCAGTTTCTTTCTGACGGGCGTTGACGAAGAATTACAGGCGCTTGCAGATGTTATCGCCGATGTGAGGGCAGGTGTTTCAGCCACCCGAAGCGTGGCTGTTGGGGAGACGAGTTTCACTCTTGCAGTGGAGGCAGGCATCGACGAGGCGAATGCGCGGGCTCTCCACCTTACTTTCTGTACTGTTTTGCCGCGACGACTGGATCTGATCGCCAGCCACATTGAGCCGTCGCCATGTGGCCGAAACGTTGTCTCGAAGGAGTTGAGAGGCCGCAGGGCACGGCATTTGTATTCATCCGTGGAAGTGTCACGGGGGGAAGAAATGCGGACCTTTCGGCATCTAACATCTCGCTGCTTTTTGACGCCATATTTGGTGAGTCCGTGGGTACTCTTTGACGCTATTGCCTTTCACTGGATGATTGGAACTGCTGAGATGTGGAGGACATTTGCTGCGCCTTCTTTCAGTATCTTTGTCGCACGCCGTGTTCGAGATGGTTTTCGATTGCTGCATTGCATGGGGTGTTGCAAGGCGATACTTTATGCCACTCGATTGTGCGGTGGGTGCCATGCGGTGGAAATATTTGACGTCATTGAGGCGCCCTTGGAGGGTGGGAGTGGCGATCTTCCGGCGCAGGTGATGATTGACAGGTTCATACGCCCCTTTGAATTTGCTGTCTCTTCTTTGTACGGACATGAACTGACCGCGGATATTTCAGAGGATATTCAAGTTGCCACGGTACTCCATACATTCAAGGTGTTTTCCTCTGCGCCATTAACCGCGGCAGTTGATCGACAGGTCTCTTTGAAGGGTTTGGAAGGAGGATTCGTCCAACTTTTTCCGCGGCTGGAGTCACTTCTTCCATTTCTGTCAGCTAGACATGCTCACACCGTTACTTTGCGTTCACTTCCCTCAATGGGAGGAAAGGGTGATGACGAACTTCGAGAGGCGGTGGCTCTTTTTGTTTCATCGCTGGGGGATCGTTCAGCGGCAGTTGATGCATCAGCCCTTCCTGAGGGTTTGCGGCAAAAACTCTGTTGCTTAGACGATTTGGATGAAAGTTCAAAGGGGCAAAATCCGTACTTTATTTCGGTACTTATGCCGATCGAATGCAATTATTTGACCTTTCTTGTGGTGCCTCGTGTGTGCCATGACACTACATTGAGGAGAGCACGAGGCGTTAATGTCCATGTTATTTCGTTAGGCACCACAGCTCTTTTCAGGGGTGTGATCCGACTGTATGGTAGGTCGGGTGAGGAGGAAGAGGACGTGGATGGGCCGCGCTCACCCGACTCTTCCGCCTCATTTTTACTGAACGCCCTGAACAAATTGCTGGTTTCCTTTTGCTCGCTTTACCAGGCCTGGCGACTTCTTGAGGAGCGGTGCGACGGAGTGGATTGTCAGGCTGCTGAGGAGGCCGTGGCTGCGCGGGATGTTCTGCAGACTTTTTCTGCGTTTCAGGACTACTGTAAGGAAGTGGACATTTCTTACCTGCTTTACGTCCAGGAGAGTAAATGGAGGGATCACGACAGTGGCATCGCACTTCAAGATGGTCTGCGCTCGTTGATCGCGTCGATGGTGCGCTCTGTGTGTCTTCGACCCTTGCCGACAAATCCCGCCATTTTCCTTCCGGTGAACGGGAAAATCCACCGACACGCCGAGCAGATGGCGGGGGATGTTGCAGCGACGAACACTTTAAAGGCCCTGCAATCCGGGAGTGCTGATTGTGAGGATCCCGCAACACTTCCGTTCCTCATGAGGATCGCGCTGTTTCTCGTCTCGGAGGATGGCAGGGACGTAGATTGCGTCAGCGTCCTCTCACCCGAGCACAGCTTAGATGAGCAGAGTGATGCATATATGTCTTTCTGGTCGCCCATTGCTTCCGATGAGGCGCTGCGTGCCTCCCAAAGACGACTTCTGCTGCGTTTCTTTGTAAAGACCGCTCCCAGGCAGCTGGTGGATCTCTCGCGCGACAGGTACAATCCACCAGCGGAGGTGACACGACGAATATTTGGAGAACTGTTGCGCGATCGGCCAGAGAACCAGGTGGACGATGCGGAGATACCACCACGCTTTTTCGCCAAGGAATCTTCTGTGAAGGATTTGAGTTTACTCTTCAGGCAGGCCTTGCCGTTCGACGAGCTGCCGAAGGCGGTTCAAGGCTTTTTTGATGTACTTGCATCGGACCTCGCTAGGAGTGTGGCGTGCCACTGCCTGATGGAATGCCTGCACTCGGCACCGTTCGAGGCATTGCGTTTTCTCGTTCAGGGTGAGGTGACAAATACCAGGGCAGCACCTTCCCTCACCGGCTTTGAGTGTGACAATAAAAATGACGGCAAAAACAGCAACGATGGTGATGATGATGAAGATTTGGACCGAGAGGCAGGTTATTTGCGTGAGTTGGCACAAGAATCGCAGGAGGTTCTGAATGCCGTCCCAAAAATTTCCGGCCTTGCGGAACTGTTGGCTTTCGCCGTGTCACCTGCCCTACTTAGTGCTCCCTGCTTTGAGGCTGATTCATTTACCGTGGAGTTTACGCAGCAGCTCTCGATTAGTTGTGCTGTTAGTCCTGCGTTGGCCCTTTCGCATGTCTTCCAGCGTTGCCTGGCGGATGATTTAGTCTGTGTTTTTCAGGCCACTTCCTCAAGTTTCCTTTTTGTGCCGAATAAGAAACACTTTGCGCTACGGTGGATTTTTATTTGCGTGACGGCCGACGCACGTGACGATGCTCAACGGGTGTGTCTTTTGTTTAGCGAGCACGAGGGAGACTTCGGTGTGTGCCGACAACTTTGCGAAAATCTTCGTCGACTGATCGAGGCGAAAATAAGGGAGGTCTGTCAGTTGCACCTTTTAAAGCAGTTGCGAGATACTCAGAACGCTCAGAATGAATGGATGCCGCGCAGCTGGGGAGACCAATTCTCTTCTCTGCCATCCATTGCCAGTGGGAATCAAGAATCCACAGCGTCACTGCCAGCTGCATTTTACTGTCGGGGATCGACTGTTCTGAAGTTGCCCATCTACTATAAATTGCAGCATCAGTGCAAGAAGATACTTTCACGCATTACGAGTAATTGCTCCAGGCTCGAGCTCATCAATATCTACAACCGGGAGCAATGCTTCGTGGTGGCGGATGACGTTCAGACGGACGTGTTTCACTTCATCCGCCTCGTATTTGTGAGGGACACTGCGCATCTACCCTCATTAACAGTCCCATCACCTTCACTTTCCCCCGCCACCCGCTGCCCTCTGATGGTGGTACAGTTGTTTGGCTCCACCAAAAATGCGCTCGTGAAACGTCCTCTCCGCAAGCTGCAGGATTATTGCTTTTTTTTGGCGATACAAGAACTCCAGGGACACCTGAACTATGTGCAGCACAAACTGATATCCAGAGTGGACCTTATTTTTCTGCAGTGTCGCCGTCGTGATCCCGTCATTGTGGACCTGGTGCAATTTGTGGAGGGTGAGCCAGTGCAGCCGTTGGATGTCCGGCTCGCTTTTGCTTTGGTCGCTTTGGGTCTCAAGGAGAACAAGTTCAAGTCGTTTCACGTTCAGGATGGTGGAAGCGCTGCCATGAGCAACTTTGCGGAATATTATGGGCTTGTGGAGGAAGAGAGAGGAGATGGGGGAGGAACGGGTGGCAGCAGTCCGCGTGTCTCTTATCCCAGGGAGATGGAGACGCATGGAACAGAAACAACATCACTCCTGCCAACGACAATTATACGCTTTGTGAAGGTCATGGAAGGTGCGACAGACATGCTTGTCTCTTGCAATCTTCGTGTGACCGACGGATCGCAGCTTGTGGTCGACCGCTTTCTAACAAAAATGCCGGAAGAACGGTATACGCCAGGTGGATCCGAGACGACATACCTCGGGCAGATTGAAGACGTTGTGAGAGATGCGGTGCTGCAGTGGCGGTTTTTTGCCTTCTCGAAGCGTTTTTATGTCCTGCCTTCTTGCCAGTTTTTTTCTGCTGTGGAGGAGTTAATGGCATATGGCGCGGGCGTGACGTCGACGGAATCATCCACGCTTCGTTTTAGAAACTTTTCTTTGAGTCGTGTCAGTCACGCTGTGTTTCCCTTTCTTGTTGAGCGTCTTGTGGGTGTGTTTGAGCCCTTTTCTCCAATTTGTTTGCTGAAACGACCAAATGCTCCGCCGTTGCACATTGCCGGTTTTCCATGGCGGTGGATTGAGCAGATGCAGAGGGACTTGCAGGCGGAGCAAATCGAAGTTTACCTCACTTGCGGCTACCGTGTCAGGATGGGTGGTGAGCAAACAGGGGAGGAGCTGGCGGTAGCAGCAACTCGTGCCGTGCAGGAGACACATCCAGACCTCCCCGTCAGTAGGGCGACAGTGCTGACGCAGAGTCCGTTACTGAGGGAATACAATATAGAAGCGGGAATGCCAGCGGAACCCCGCGTGGTGGCGCGCATTTCCCTTAGTGGCGGGGTGACAGCCGCCCTTTTCAATCTGCGGGACTCCGATATTCTGCTGCGCCTGATGGGGCACGTTATCGCCATGGCAGAGCAGCAGTCTGACCTTCTTCATGACATTATGGCTCAGAGAATGGGACTTTCTCTCCCATCATACCTAACGGAGCCGGCACTGGCGCGTTCTTGCTGTGGTGATGACAACAATGTGACGGAAGGAAAACGGTTGTGCATTCAAGATGAAACTTACCGAAGACGTATTAATCATGTGCGTTTTCCACCTCAGCACGCGGTGGGTGGCGATGCCTTGACGGTTATTGTGGAGGGGCTGTTTAACCGCGGCCTTTTAGTGAATGGAGTCTTTGTGGAAGATGATGCAATCCGCGTGCTGTACAACGAATGCCCCCAGTATTCCTTGAAGGAGTGTAAGCGAATCCTGCAGGGATTGATGAGGGACGGCCTGCTTGTGATGGCACCTGGAGCAAATAACCGTCGTTTGGTGCACTCAAACCGTATTCCCGATGATGCGCTCATCGGCTGTGACTTTCATAGACACATACAGACTGCCCACATTCTAGTGGAGTCGCAGCACGCGCGTTCGGGTATTATCGATTCACTTTATGACTGTGAGTCGTCTTTGAATGTATTTTCGCCAGAGAGCGAGATATCCCTGGCCAAATTGGTTGTACTTCTCCAGGGACGAAGCAGGCAAATATTTGGGTCCCGTGTGCGGGACTTTACCCTCCCTCGCCGTCTGCCGTGGTGCCTCTCTGACGAAATTCTTGATCCATCTTTGCCACCGAGAGGCAGAATTGGCTCCGAATACCGTTTGTCTGTGGATGCAACTCTGCAGTCGTACGTGCAGTATCTTCTACGCGTATTTCCGAGGGCACGCGTCATTGATCTGGACGCCAACAACGCCATCGTATCATCCGATGCGACACTCCTGCACCGTTTTCGTTGCCGTTACGGTAAATTTATTTCTCCAGACGGGAGTGAGATACGTTTTGTTCCTCATTTGTACTATGTGCTGATTCCTATTGGAGACGCTGAGCGCATGCAACGGAACGATTACGAGCTTGCGGCAACCGCCACACTTAGAAGGGGAGGATTGTTTGTTGTGCAAGTAGGGTTCCAAGTCGCTCATTTTGCCATTGACGTATTCATGGCCAGTGGTGGATCTCTCTCTGCTAGTATGGCCGCCCTCGCCGCCGCAAAGCTTAAACGTGACCTTATTTTTAGTAGTGTTCTTTATGATCTGACAGTGAATCGCATGCTACGTTACGTGCAGATGTATGCGTCGCTCCTATTCGGTCAACTTTTGACATCCGATGCCCTTGAGACTCTTGTGCAACATTATCCAAATCCGCCATGCGAAAGTCTCAACTTTGTCTGTGTGTTTGATGTGGAGGAATCATGCGTGCGCCGGGCGCGGAAAATGACGGCAAAAAACTCATCCGAAGGCCCGGACAGCAACGGTATGAGACAATTGATTCCCAGACAGGGCGAGCTACTCCTGAGGGAATCCACGCAGGAAAGATACCACTACTGTGGGGTGATGGTCTGGGCAACGTCTCGTCTGTTCGTGTTGCTTTCTACCGTCCGGGACGTCACCACATGCGATCGTTGCCCCAACAGTGATCTTCCCAAGCTGGCCCTCTCGGCCAAACGCCAGCTGCTCCAACTGCTTCTGGACGGCATGCTCCAGCAGCGGCTGGATTTTGCATGGGGGAAAATACGCGCATCTCGGGGTGAGAAAATGAAGCCACAATAATGATAATGACAGCACCGATAGCGCCGACCAGGGACCG